CTTTGGAAGGACCTCAGAGGTTTGTGCGTCTTGTTTTTACACTCAATTTTGAAGCTCGAAGTCCAATACTTCTAGTACGTCTTTGGTGAGTATTATTAACTTTATTGCATGTCGTTATTGTTGCAGGGAATTTGTGGCGCAGCATGAATCAGTTGGGTATCATACATCGGATGGGCTAACAAGAGCTAAAGGAATTTCATCTGGGCCTAAGTCTAATAAGTTAAGTTCGAGTGCAGCTGGCAACGAGATGGGCTTAGAATATGTCTCTTTAGAAGATCTTGCTCCTTTAGCCATGGATAAAATTGAAGCACTCTCAATTGAGGGGTTGAGAATACAAGCCGGAATGTCCAATGCAGATGCACCTTCAAATATCAGCGCACAGTCTGTTGCGGAAATCTCAGCTCTCCAGGGCAAGGGTGTCAACGTTGGTGAATCCCTTGGTCTGGAAGGAGCCGCTGGGATGCAGTTGTTAGACATAAAAGACAGTGGCAATGATGTTGACGGATTAATGGGCCTCTCATTAACTCTTGATGAATGGTTGAAACTCGATTCTGGTGAAATTGATGATGGTGATCATATTAGTGAACGGACTTCTCAAATCCTTGCGGCTCATCATGCAAACTCTTTGGACATGATTCGCGGAGGGTCAAAGGGAGAGAGAAGGCGTGGCAAAGGAGCTAGAAAGTGTGGCTTGTTGGGGAACAATTTCACAGTAGCACTGATGGTGCAACTTCGTGATCCACTACGAAACTATGAACCTGTTGGGGCACCAATGCTTTCTCTTATTCAAGTAGAAAGAGTGTTTCTCCCACCGAAGCCAAGAATATACATCTCGGTTTCAGAGCTGAGGAAGAATGATGAAGAGAATGATCAGTCTGAGTCAGTGGGAAAAGAAGAAGAAATAAAGGAGGAGATGAAAGATGAGAAATTGGCCGAAGTGGAAGCTATTCCTAAGTTTAGAATCACTGAAGTCCATGTTGCAGGTCTGAAAACCGAGCCAGATAAAAAGAAGCCATGGGGTACTGCAAACCAGAAACAGTCCGGTTCCCGCTGGTTGCTTGCTAATGGAATGGGGAAGAGCAATAAGCATCCGTTTATGAAGTCAAAAGCTGCTCCAAAATCTTCTGGTCCAGCAACAACAAAGGTTCAGCCTGGTGATACCTTGTGGAGCATCTCAGCACGCGTTCATGGTACTGGAGAAAAATGGAAGGAATTGGCAGCACTAAATCCACATATAAGGAACCCCAATGTATTTTTCCGAATGAAACTCTCAGATTAAGCTGAATTTCAATTTTTGAATCGGTTAGTGCTTTTGACCTTGTCATTACACAGCTTGGTTGTCGACTAATCCCTATAAACAGGGCGTTACCCGATGTCTCTGCTTGTGAGGTTCTTTCTTGTAGTCACATGAACATAGACATAGTTGACCGATAGACAAGATGAGATGAAGGGGAAAAGGTTGTGTTGTATCGTTGTCTTGCTGTTGTAAATCCATGTCATGTGAGTATAGGCTTGCAAGCATTGTAATGTATGCCCGTCTGAAGGCGCTGTGTTCAATTCACAGCCGTCGGCAGGTGATATTTGTGTGCGAAAATGTCGTAGCTGTTCTTGGACCTTGCAGAAATGTTCAGAAATGCGGTTTTTGGTGTGCGCTTGTTGGATTCGTTTGAGGGAAGTGAATAGGAGTTTTGATCATCGTGTTTATATTTTTTATTTACATTTCTCTTTCACTCAATTGTCCCTTTATGCAACAGTGTATGACTACTCTAATTTACAAGAACGATGATTAGAACTTGGGTGCAAGGGTCCAAGACCCAAAGAACGAAGGCGAAAACAAGTTTTTAGTCCATATACCTTGTCCATGTATGTTCAATAGCATCCAATTTGGTCCATGTACTTTGCAAACTTTTCCAATGTTCTTCAACTTATGTTTATTTCTATAAAGCTACAAGGCTTTTTACTTATGTTTATTTCTATAAAGCTACAAGGCTTTTTATCCAAAATGGTTCCTGAGATTTGCACAACTTCTCACTTTGGTCGCTGAGATTTGAAATCAATAGAATTGGTCCCTAAGTTTGTCCACCATCAATCATTTTGGTCATTCCTTAAAAAATCTCCATTAAATAAGAATAAAATGACCAAAATAGTCTTAATTTTTGTCAAATCATTTTGGCCAATTGTTTATTAAATTGAGGTATATTTGTCATTTTGATCCTTATTTAACATAATTTTGCATGAAATGACCAAAATGATTGATAGTGGACAATCACAAAGACCACTTCTATTGATTTCAAATCTTAGGGACCAAAGTGATGTGTTATTCAAATCTTAGAGACCATTTTGACTAAAAAGCCAAACTACAAAAACGAAATGCAGCGGAAAACAAATTATATGGACGAAAGTGAAAATCTAATAACTTGCAGGGACTGGTTTTGCAATTTAGGCAAGGAGGTCATCTAGGGCAGCCAAAGATTTGTAGGTGGGCATTTAGGGCATTTGCAAACATTAGGATCACATCCAAAGGTCTTGCAACATTTTCCTCAACTTTCACGCAAAATATTTCCCTAAAGTCTTGCTCGGTGGGTGCAAAAAGATGCAATCTCCACCCATGAAAAATGAGGCGGGCTCGACGCACACAAATGAGGTGGCCTTGGATGCATGGGTCAACCATTATTGCCCGTACGAACCAATTGTGTCGGGAGTAGGGCATTTATAGGAGGTAGAGTTTAGTTTAATTCCCACGTGTCAGCCATGGTTTGCCATACGAACTATAAGTAGTGGGGATAGAGCATTTATAGGGTTTATGTTTAGTTTTAATCCCATGGGTCAACTGTTGTTGTCTGCACGAAGCATTGGTGTTGGGGGTGGGCATTTATAGGTCGCTATCAATAGGGGTAGGGTTTTGTTTTAATATCAGGGGTCAACCATGGTTGGCCGGACGAAGTAGGGTGGGGCATTTATAAGTCGCTATCAACCATGATAGAATTCACCCTAAAGTCGTAAGTTTTATCATAGTAACCGCATCTTAAAAATTTAAAAATTTAAAAATTAAAAAAAAAAATTCTCCGCTGCATTGCGGCAAGGGAAAAATTCGAGTGCACGAACACTGAAACAGGCTGAACTCAGGGTGTTATTATTAACATGCCCCTAAACACTTGAACTCAGGGTGTTATTATTAACACACCCCTAAACACTTGAACTCAAGGTGTTACTATTCACACACCCCTAAACCCTAAACTGCATGGGCCTCTACTGCTTTTGCTGTGCCTTGGGCCTTCCTGAGGGCATGAGTTTGGGCTGCATCTCTCTACACCTAAATCGTTAATTTTATTTTTTATTTTTGTTAAATTTTTGTTTTTTCCTATACCACAACACCAAACTATCATCTTTGTATTCTACAAAATGTATTTCAATAAAAAAATTTCTTATAATCCACGTTAAAAATTTTGAAAACAAGAATATAAGTATAAACCTAAATCTAAAGGTATTTGAATCTAAATAAAGTAACATAGGAAGAAAAAAAAAAAGAGAGAAAAAAAAATAGAAAAAGTATACGATCGGTAGATACATACCAATTCTCTTTGAAGAAAGTCGCTAGAATTTAGCGACTTCCATCGACACTAGTCGCTAGAACTTACTGACTTCCTTCAAGGAAAGTCGCTATCATCATACCGATCCTCCCCTTAAATATTTTTTCTTTTTCAGTTTTTTTATTTACTTTTTATTTATTTATTCTTTTGGTTAATTTTTCTTTCATTTCTCTTACTATAACAACAAACTATCATATTCATGTTCTTCAAACTATATTTTTCTGTGCAAAATCTATTATAATTCATATTTAAACACTTGAAATCAACGATTTAGAACCTAAATTTAAAGATATTTTTCTATTTTTCAACTTTAAAAATCAATAAAAAATACTTACGGGACCTAATAAACGGTAGGATCACGTCCAAAGGTCTTCCAATAATTTCCTTAACTATGACGCAAAATATTTCCTAAAACTAAAATTTTCAATTTTTTTTTCACAAAAACTGTGAGTTATTATATAACCCATAGTTTTCCAATCGATTTTGAGAACTTTTACAACATTCGTTATAACTCAAAGTTAGAGTCATTCTACTCGCACCACATGTTTCCTAAATTTAATTTAGATTTTGGACACCAATTCTTGGCGTTGTTGACCAAGTCCTAGGTCAGCTAAATCCAAATAGAGAGATTTTACATTTCATCAATTTAAGGATCTTTACTAAGGATGACTCAAATAAAGATATTCACTCAGGAGAAGTTTATATAAAGAACTAATTTCTATTTAAGTCTATCTTCTTACAGAGTATACACACATATTTATAGGCCGAGGAAGAACTTGAACCTCTCGTAAAACTATCAGGGGACAAAAGACATCTTCCTCTTTTGTTCATTACTTACATAAGATAAGGAGGAATGTCCTTTACATCACAATCAGCTTTACTTTACAATACTCTAGATGAGATTCCTTAATTTACAACATATCAATTATTATTATACGATTCCTCATGTTTGCTTGTCACGTCTTGACTTGTCCCCATCCACCATGCTTCCGCATCCTTTAGTCTCATCCATCATTAGGCCAATATTCAACATCAAGTTCATCTAAGTCATCATATCTTCCCCATGAGATAATTTTGGGACAAATGATACGAGGACGGGGACTCAAACTTTGGCCCAAAAAGAGAGCACACTGCGCTAGCCACTTTGGCTAAGCTGAAGTTGAAGTTTGAGACTGAAGTTTCTTCTTCGTAAAGAATACATGCGGGTTTATTATTTTAGTTAATATCCTTATTAATGATAATTGTGGAAAGATAATTGTGTTTTCAGAACTAGGTCTGTAAACAAGCTGAGTCAAATCGAATATCACTCTAGCTTGTTTAACTTATTTTTTTAGCTCAAGCTAGGGTTGGAAGAATTTTGGAAGGATCTTTCCTACTTGAAATCCAAAACCTGGGAGTTCCACCCAAGACTTTCAAGAACTTTTGCTTTCGGAATCAAAAACTTTAACCTTACATTGGGTCGAACCAGCTTAAAATCGACTCAACCAGAACTACAAGAGCCTCGTACTTTTATGAGAAGTGCCCTAAGAATTACTCTCTTACCTTGTATTTCTTTATTAAGCAGAACCCAGCCAGATAAAAAAAAAAAAAGAGGAAATGGCAGAAAATAATGAGAGCAAAAAATCAAAATTATCCCTCAAAATTTACAAGGATGGCAGATAGAACACAACACAGAACAGCATGCCATCTCCGAGCCACGAAGATTCGTGACCTGCAGAATTTGAAAGACAGCATTCAATGTACTGCCATGAACAGAAGAATAGTTGTACAAGAACAGCGAGTTTACCCCTCCAACTCGAAGCATCATATAATACAGGCTTCAACTGCAGTATCTTCATCTAAATTTGCTGCTAGAAAAACAGACCTTCAAGCATCCGATCATATATTTCATAATGCTTTGGGTCAGACCTTCTCGGAGACTAGTTTGACGCCCGGATTAATGAATTTAGTGTTAAACACATCCGCAATACTGCAATGACGAGTTCTGTGATTGTGAAGCCATAAAAAAGTGAGAGCTGTTCACCTTAATCCTCAGTTCTCACCTCTCCAAGTTCAAGTTCATCATCAACGTTAGATGGCTCCACATCTTTTGGCTTAATATAACCATACTTTCTGAGAATCCATAGATTCATACGAATAACATTGCCAAAGAAAACAACCACCATTAAAGTCAACCATGTCCAACCTGATATCTCAGTTACCCTACGTAACACGATCTGCACATTTTCTTCACTAGGTGACATATGACGGAGAGTGATGAAATATGTTACTACTAGTGTTGAGACAGCAACCCACATTATGACCATTTGTATCCACATCCACCTCCTCCGTTTGATAGGTAGCCCGCTAACGAGCAGAAGAATTATGCTTAGGGACGCGAGGAAAGAGATTGTGTTAAAAATCATTACTAGACCATATTCTTTTCCCTGCTTATATGCCATGACAGATGTTCCAACGGTGTGAGGGTTCTCCACAGGGTTGCCATTTTCATCGACTTGCTGGTCATCCTGCCAAACACCTCCCGGAGGGGTTATTGCAGCTTGGAAGGCAACAGTTGCAAGGAGAGATGCCACCACCATCAATGAACTTCTCTTCCTACCAAGCCAATCAGTAGGCTTCTTGTTCTCAGCCGGTTTCATAGACTCACTCACTTTCGAGGACAGCGCTGATCCTCGATGTCTTAGTATCTGACGTTCTTTAGTTGGAGCGTGAACCCAGTCGTGCTCAATGTTACGTAGATCCCTTGCACTTTGAGCCCCAGCACCTCGAAGGAAATCCTCAATCTCCATATCCCTCAAATCTCTAGGACTCTGCATCAGAATGTCTAAAGCCGTAGCGCTGCTTGCATTCAACGCATTCACATTCACTCCGGTTTCAAAAAGCAAGAATTTGATAATCTGCACAAATTCAAAACACCACTTTAGTAAAGAAAATGAAACTAACACACAAATTCAGTCCCTTTTAAGAGATGTATAATCATGTACAGAAAGTATTTATCAAACACTAATCAGTAGTTTCTAAATGCTACATCTTTATGTTTCTGATACGAACTCGAGTTGAAAATTAAAATGCCTTTCGCCTTGGTATGATTGGAATGGATAAGTTTACGTCATGACTAATACATGTTCTACCTTCAACTCCGACAAGATTTGAAATTCGACGTCCATTTCTTGCATCGACGTACATTGAACCTAGTGAATTATTCAATCCAGACAACGAACCAAGCCTAAAGGTAGCTAGCTAAGATCAGTAGCGCTTGAGCGTTAATCAATTAGTAAGTTAATATGATTAATTAATGTGTACCTCGATTAGCTTCTTGGCCACGGCAATATGCAAAACGGTGTTACCATCGCAATCCTTCCAATTCACAAACTCATCATCTTTCCCAACTGCCTTAACCAAAACCTTCAACCCCTCCAACCGATTACGCCCAACGCACAAGTGCAGCGCCGTCTCGCCTCGGTCCGTCAACGCCCGAGTCCACTCACTCCCAACTCCGACCAACTCATCCACCACCTTAACCCGCCCCTTGGCAGCCGCGACGTGGAGCGCCGTCCTCCCGTCTAAGTTCCTCACCGCACACGCCCCAGGATCCGCCAGAACCAGCTCTTTCACTATCTCCACGTGCCCCTTCGCTGCCGCCAGGTGGAGAGGCGTTGACCCCTGCGAGTCCAGCTCGGAGGCCAACTCGGGGTTGCGGCTAAGTAACTCGGTAACAAAAGCCAGGTGACCCAGCAATGAAGCTACGTGAAGCGGCGTCTCGGCGACGCAGGAGACTAAAGCTCTGTCGAGAACAAGTGGGTCCTCTGCGATCAGATCATTAAGCGCCCCCGTATCTCCCGCCATGGCTGCATCCATAAGCTTCTTCTCCATCTTCTCCATCTTCTCCGCTCGTTTTTCTCTTCTGGGTCAGCTGAAAAGTCGTCAAGCTTCAATCTTTTGCAGCCATGAAGTCGAATAATAATCAGAATTTTATTATTATGATCAAATTACAGATGGTACACATTTTTTATTTTAACGGTGGAAAAATTTATTTTGTAAGATATTAATTTTTTAAAACATATATTTTATCATTTGTATAATGAAATGTGATATATCGTTTGAGATTTCAATGGATGTCGCCGTCTAAAAGCCACTGCTGAATAAATAAATAAAATGAAAACCTATAAACAAAAATTAATATGTTTGCATACAAAAATTGACCAAAACGAGTCAAAGTTCAAATTTGATTAGTATTCTAAAGAGAAAGAGGAAAGAGAATGCCTTGCTATGGTCAAACGTTTTTAGGTGAGGTGGGACGGCACTTGGGACTTTTGGAGTGGAAATTTCCAATTTTGCAAACGAGACGACTTGGAAAATTCTACTATGTTTCGTCTACGTTATAGTTTGAAGTCTTTTATGATTAATATTTAGTCATTAAATCTTTGATTAACAATTTCACCGTTAAAATTTCAATGTGTAAAAGGCATTTTTATTCGTGTTTGATTCTTTTTCATTTTTATATATAATGTCGACTTGAGAAGTAATCAAACACGAATAAAAATGAAAAAGAATCGAACACGAATAAAATGAAAAAGAATCGACTTGAGAGGCACACGAGATACGCAGTTTAAAACCATGCGGTCTTCTTGCTCGAGCAATTTCCCTAAGAGCTCCAAGGAGAATGTCAGTCGAGAGCGCTCTCTCGTGTGCGTCGTCCACCATCGCCACACTGTGGCTCTGCAAATCTGCTTCTTCCCCATCGATTATTTCGCCCAGCAACACCGCGTCCGTCATGTATTTGATCACCGAGACATCTTCTTCTTCTTCTCCTTCTCCATTACTAGTATACTATTAGTAGTATTTTCAGTACTGTTAGGAGGGAGAGAACATGACCATATACTAGTGTATAACTTTTTTTGAGACAAACGATACGAGGATGGGGGCTCAAACTTGGGTGCAGAAGACGAGCACACCGCTCTAGGCACCTTGGCTAAGCCCATGTTTGCTATTGAAGTTTCTTCTTCGTCAAGAATACATGTACGTGGGTTCATTATTTTCGTTGTTATTGTTATTAAGGATAATTGGTGGGAAGATGGTTTTGTTTTTTCAGAAATAGGTCTGTAAACAAGCCGAGTCAAATCGAATATTGCTTTGGCTTGTCTAACTTTTGTTGAGCTCAAAGCTAGGCTTGGAAGAATCTTTCCTGCTTAGAATCCAAAACCTCGGAGTTCCACTGGAATTTACCCTAAGACTTTCAGGAACTGTTGGTTTCGGAGAAGCGAAAACCTTAACCTCTTACCGCAGTAAGAACAAGCAGATGATGAATCTGGTAAAATGCATCAGATAACAGATATCAGATTTTGAAATTTGGCAGGCTAATTTAGGGCCATTAGCATTTGACAGAACTGCATAAAACAGTCATAGCATCGCCGTTCATAGATCCTACTAATTACGAGACATTAACATCATCCAAGTAACAAGATCACGAAGAACAAAGTACTAAGTAGAAGGGTTATGCCACCATGGCTCACACGCCGATTGTTAGCTTAGCTCTATCCAACATGAACTACTTACAAGGGGGGCGGACGCACAAACCCCCTGTTGTAATTTCAAGGACGGACTCTCTTGTTGCTGCATGACGGGCACTTGTAGTGCTTGATGTGCTCAGCTCTGGCTGGGGTTATCTTCACGCATTTTCCATGGAACCACTTCTCACATATGTCGCAGCAAATCCAGAATTCATCAGCAGCATAGCTCTCCCCACATGCACCACAGACAGTCTCGCCGTGCTCATCATCATCACCTTCCCCATCCAGACCCCCGTCCTCATTTTTTGGCATTGCTCTTGCATATTTGACCGATTCAGAGCCTCTCTGTTCTCAGATGGAGAATTGACCACAGAAACACGTAATTAATAACCAATGTAAGGTAAACCCGTTACAAACCAGAGAGAGAGAGAGAGAGAGAGAGAGAGAGAGAGAGAGAGAGAGAGACATAAGACAATTCATTTTACCCCTTTAGAGCTTGACTTAGGCCTATGGATGCTGTTATTTGAAACTGATGACTTCTCCTTTGACTGTCTCTTTTCAATGCCCGCCACAACCTCGAAGATAGATGGCAGATCATTCATCAGAGTGAAGAGACGTTTCCTGCATCAAAATTTGTAATGAACCTAGTTTTCTAGAAAAGCAAAATTAAATAAATAAACCATCCCACAAGCTGAATTTGAACCCTCTTCAGAACTTATAACAACATTGTTTCTTGAGATTTGAAAGCACTAACAATAGGCAAAAGATCAACGAGCGACAACAAGAGCAACTTCAAAACAACCTTATTTTCTTGCAAATAGAAATAAAAGCATCAGACATACGCAAGAAGGGAGATCTGCGTACCTTTCAGTCTTGTCAAAACCAAATCTGGCACCAAAGTAGAAAGCCACTGAAAGCAACCACGCGTCGCTGTGCACAGCTACCAGAGACAACCAGTCCCTTTCTTGCATTCCATCTCGGGCAAAGTTGATGCCCAGAGCAGGTTCCGGGAGCTCTGGAGGAACTTCTTCAGCAGGTAGATTAACCTCCCATTCTTCATTCGGGAATCCATACAAACAAAGATTCTCCTTTTCTGAAACATTGACCAATCAATTACCAATTAGTTAAATTATCAAGCAGTATCTTAAGTACATTATCCAAATCCCACAACGATCTTACATTTCCGATGATCAAAACAAGAAGAAAATGCAAGTGAACGCTCTGTTTAGCAGTTACATCTTCACTACAGGCAGGATCCAATCAAATACAACAAAGTCTAACTTGATCCAAGTTGAATGACCCCGGAAGGTATGTTTTTGAAACGCGATTACGAAATTAATACTCTCACTCAAACAAGGAAAATTTCATCTCAACACAAACAAATCATAAGCATCATGTAAAAATGATCAACGAAAAACGAAACAAAGAGCAAGCCAACGGGACAACCTAAGCATTTAAAAAGGGAGTTCGATACCAGTTTATTTCCCCGCCCCTTAGTGTAAATATATTGTTTGTATCAAAAAGACAAAATGGAGGGGGAGAATTAAAAGGTTCAAGCTCCAAAACTATAAAAAGCAGCTATATTCTGCAGATACAAAGTTAGAAAAAGCAATAATTTTACATAGTAATAATTTATAGAGTAAATTGTAGTAATGGTCCCTTAACTTTAACTCAATTTGAGCAATGACCCATCAACTATAAATTCATTACCATTGGTCCCTCAACTTATCAAAATGTAAACTATGGTCTCTCAACTAAAAATTCATTACCATTGATTCTTCAATTTTAATCCACCTGGAGAAATGATCTAACCCAATTGTAACAATGATCCTTTCAACATAACTTATTTTGACAAAATTTTGGCGAAGTTTACGAAAAGGATCGTAGCTACGCATTTTGATGAGTTGAGAGACTAATGATAATGAATTTTTAGTTCAGGGACTGTTACTACAATTTACTCTAATTTATAGTGACGCAAACTCAATGCACGTTATAGGATTCGTACCGCCGACTCAAGATAAGGCTTGGTTGTTGTAATAATTTACAGTGAAAAAGAACAGATTAATAAAATTGCAAGGCCATGGAGACAAGGGAAAACAGTAATTAATCAGAAAAATTGACAAAAAAAAAAAAAAATCAGAAACAGAGAGAGAGAAAGAGAGCACTCACCAGGATCGCATTGCTGGTAAAAACGTTCAACATCTGCACCAAAATAAATAAATAAATAAAGTTAGAAAAATCAGGAAAGCATTTAGAATGTGCAGAAATAACAGGAAATTGGAAAAAGAAAAAGAAAAAAGCCCTAACTAAACGCCAAAATATGAAGTGACAAAAGTTAAAAATTAAGATAAAATAAAAAAAATAAAAAAAAAAGAAAGAAGAGAGGGAGACCAGTGGTGAGAGCTTTGATCAAGCCGGCTCGACGGCCCTTGAAGTCGGTGAAAACCTCCTCCACAGTGCGCGGGCTGTACGGTGCTATTCCTCCTTCTTCTACTTCCATCACCATCTCCGTTCACTCTCCTTTCTCTCTCTCTCTATCTCTCTCTCTCTCCTGAGAGCGAAATTGACTAATTGAGCTTAGTAAATAGTGTAGAAAATTTAAGAAAGCAGGACGGAAGGTGGGGGTAGAATCGTAATTGGATTCGGTTGCCGAATCGTAATTACTGATTTATTTATTTTATTTTATTTTATTTCATTTATGGAGGAGCGACGGCGCAGAAAGAGAAGCCATAAAATCCCAACCGTATATATGTTAGGTAAATTAAAAAACCACCAAAACCCAATAAATAAAATTTTGTTTTCTTGATAAAGGAATTTTGACACGTGGTTACGTGAAATTGGCAGGAGTTGTTCATTAAAAACGGTGGTCCCCATTTGAATTTCCCAGTCGTTTGGATCCGCGAAGGTGATTGGACCACGGATTAGTGGGTCCTATGTTTACCTATGGGACAGTGGGATTAGAGGGGCCATCCACGCGTCGTGATTTGGACCGGAAGATCTTGGACCAGAGCTACGTTTTGGTACACCGTGGATAGAAGGGGAGGAGCACCACCGTGACCGTCGGCTGGCATTGAGGACTCAATGCGTTCATGAAACAGAACTTGGATTTGACAAATATATCCCTACCAAAATAAATGGGGAGGAGTAATCGAACATAGGATCTCAGATGAGAGGTAAATAAAACCTAACTTATTTAGAGAGGAGACGCCAAGTTTCATCAACGCGTATGAGGATACAGGAAAAGAATTTGTTACGATCAAATTCGGTTTGCTTCATTTGTCTCGGCAACCACATGAAGCCAGTTTCAGAAGCTTTACTTGGTGTACGATCAAAACAAGGCACATAATCTCAATAATCGAAAAAAACAAAAAACTCAATCGCACTGAGACTCAAATTAAACCAGTAAAAGGTATCAAATAGACCACTCCGAAACCACTCAGTACTATGGTCTGATGGTAATCCTCTATAACCGAACAATTTTCAAAGCAACATTTGTCCCAACGGACCACAAATGAGATACAATACAAACGGTTCGGTGCACCAACCGAACATATACATTTAGTGACTTCTTATTTCATACGATGGGTCAGTAAGAACGGATTAGGCATCGAGCGTGTATGTCAGAAGCCATATAGTATATCCCAAGGCATTCACATTCTCTCCGAATCTGTCTCAAGTTTGTAAACCAACAAAAAACCTTCGACAGGGAAAACGTGAACGGGTGCAGCAGGTCTTTGTAGAGCGACTCCTCAAAGCGAGCTTCCAATTGCTGCAGCTTCAAAAAAGAAGGTACAGATTGTGTTGAGTGAGGAGCCAATCAGATTGCTTGAAGAAGTCTAAAATCCATCCAATCATTTTGCCCCCACATCTGAGAGTGGAGAAAGAGAGTAAGAATTGAGAAGCATGGGAGAAGGCAAGCACAAAAGAACGCTCAAAGATGTCTCACTTTGCCCCCACATCTAGGATAACTGACGAATGTAAATAATGTAATCGAAAAACAGTATAATGAACTTCCATCCTTCAGGCTCCACAAAATATAGTGTGTTTGAGAAGCAACCCGCCACAGTGGTACACAGTCAAACAATTATGTAGTCTCAACCAGAAATCAGTAGGCGGTAGGCCCACATCCATTCCAAGTTAATCCTTGAATTACCTAGTTCAGTATGTGAAAAATGATCCAATATGAACTTTCCCACTCTGTTCATAATTCTTACAAAATTTATTGTCTTATTGAGTGTTCTTTTCCTTCATTCAACTTTTGTGTGTGCCCTGTATGTGTGTAAAGAATTTGGAAGACTTCATTAACCAAAACTTACCGCTATCACTGTGAGAGGATCCATCATCTTTTTTCGCTGGAACATGTTGTTGAAGAAACTCCTGGACCGTTCTCCAATACTCGTCACCACCAGCAAGCCAAGTATCCATATGCATGCCAGTGGGAAATTCCACAAAAACACACCGCTTATTATGGGCAGCTGCTTTGGCATACAGCATTTGCAAATGGGATGGAGGAATCATCTCATCTTGCAAGCCGGAAAGAAAGAGGATTGGCTGCTTAACCTGCATTTAGATGGTCACACGTGAGGGACGGAACATTAAGGTAATGACAGAAGAAATGTGTCTCCTCACACTTTGTTGCTCTTGAGGCGATTGCTGTTTAGAAAGGGTAATTTTTTACATCTTTAAGAATCACGTTTTATTGTTACTATCATCTGATGAAATGCAATACTGGTGCAGATTTTGTTGAAAACTTGACTTAAAATACGGTTATTTCAACCAGATATCCTGTGTAGGATCAAGCATGGATGGGTACAATCAGAAAGCTGGAATATGTAGAAAATTGAAAAAGACCAACAATAAAAGTCTACCATATTGTTTCAGCTTTACACGTCTAATTGCAGGGTGAAACAAGAAATTCTACCACCAAGAAAGCTCACCTCACCAATGACATCAATTGTACTCCAAGGAGAACGTACGAGAAAATTGAGTACTTTAGGACCTTTTGAACCACTGCCTCCAATGAACCACTTCAAGAAAGGAAATAAAACTCCAACCAAGTCCAAAATAGATGTGAAAGTGTTTTCCAGTATCAGTGCAGCAACCTACAAGGCATAAGCGTAGAAAAACTATCTCAGCCTACCAACTCAAAATATACGATTTAAGTACCTTAAATGGTGGCGAAATTTCCAACACTCGAAGGAAGTGAAAAACATTAAGTTGCAACAGATTTAATAGAGTGATACCTTATCAGGGTTGTTTTTAGCAACCACAGTTCCAACTGCACCCCCAAGTGACCTTCCAAAGACAACTATTCTAGATGTGTCAATGTCAGTCCTCTGCGATAGGTGATCCAATGCAACCTAACAGAAAGAAAGAAAGAAAGATAAGTATAAAACAGCGCTGAAACATGAAAATAAGAGTAGAATCATCATACAACTGTAAGTGAATCACATACCTGAGCATCTTTTATGATCCCGTGCTGAGAAGGATATCCTTCACTTGCTCCATAACTGTTGTTTTTATAGATGAAAATTAGCATGAAATAATAGTATAATACTATTGGTATACATAAAATAGCCCAACTTTTCTTTCCAACCATCACATATCACTCAAATTAAGCTGGTTTCAAGATAACAAAGCAACAAGAAAAAACCCGCACGTACCCTCGATATGAAAGCATAAACACGTTGCATTGCAGTTGTTGTAACATTATGCGGACCATTTCAAGACGATGAGCAATATCTGCAGGCCAGTGGTCAAGGCCAATAAAGCAAAAAGAACCCCCAATTCACCATTAAGTTCATGAAAGTTGCATGTAAACCCGAATGAAAAACCACGAAAAACAACACACAATGTTAATGATCAAACTATAGTAACAAAGTCGACGACTATTCAGAAAGAAAAGGATACTTCCAGCATTTTCTTGGAAAAACAATAGGGTTGGACCTGCAAAGCAAGCAAAGTAACTTTAGAAACCCTCAAAGAATATCAGAATCTTACAATCACAGCGGTGCCTTGAGTTCTAAGAAATACCGAAAAATTCGAAAGCAGCTCAAAATAACAGTTTAATTTTTGAAGTAAACACCTAATTACTTGAAATTGAGACGAATTACATACAAAATGGATGGGGATTACTGTGTGGAATGCATGCATTTCGAGTGAGCTGTAGGCTAAATTAACAAAAACAAACACAATTCGCTACCTGCTTTGAGTAATTCACTAAGCCCCATAACCAACAAAACCCTAATTGTCTCAGCAAAACCAAAAACCCAATTCCAATTCAGCAGAATTCAGAGCTCAACCAAATCAAAACAAAACATAAAAGTGAAAAACAAATCGGGTATGGAGAAGCGGATCGGACCTCGGCAGAGAGGGAAGAGCTTGATGAACCAAGCGTGGAGGCGAACGCCGTCGGAGGACTGGAGCCAGACGTCCTCGTATGTGAGGCGGAGGCGGGCGGGGGTAATCGGGTAGGACTTGGTGAGACCCGGCAAGACGGGGACGTAGACGAGGCGCTCCTGGAGAGCGACGAGCAATGTCATGCCGGCCACCACCAGGCCTCCCACTCCGTACAGCAGCGCGCTCACGTACGACACCATGGCTGCTGGGCGTGTGGAGCTTTTTGCTGGGTTTGGTTTTTCGGGTTGTTCTAATCTCTAGCTCCTTCTTTAACCATCTGGAAAGTGCAAACTGGAAAAACTGAATTGTCGTGAGAATTGAATTTTTGCGGGTTGAAAATTCTGGAATTTTGGAAGGTCACGGTGGGGCCCTGTCGCTTGGTTTGCAATTTTCTATGATATTTTCTGTAGTACTAATTCATGGTCTCGAAAATTTTGTTGGTCGGACGAAAACACGAACATCAAGTGTTATAATATAAATAATTAAATATATTTTTAAAGTTTTTAACTAATTATGTTAACATACTTATCATTTAGTAGTATGATTTAGTGGCATTCTTGTTCAGTTGTAAGTGAGAAGTTTTAGGTTCGATTCTCATCAAAGGTAAATTTGAACCACATTACTATTACTAGCTCATTGTGAGGCTAAACCCATCCCATTTCCCTTAGTATAAAAAATATCGTTTGTTAAAAAAAAAAAAAATACTTGATAAACCGAGTCGTGCTTCGGCACATTGAAACTCTCTCCATAGTCAGATACTTCAAATTTTTTTAAGGCTCAAATTTTTTTTTCTTGGTCAAAACTAGAAAATCAAGATCTAACAGTTAAACTGAACAAAACCAGAAAAATCAAGATTTAACGGTTGAGAAATTCAATCGGAAGCACCATAGAACTGATCTGGGTCGAGCCAAGTTAGTAAAGTACTAGTAAATTAGAGTAATTTAGTTTGTCAAATTATTTAGGAAAAAATTGTTTGTTACCGAATGCCATCATGATACCTTAGTGACATTTAGGAAGCAGATTATCTGCCCTCCTGTTTGGATGCCCTTCTCATCCCTTCCTATTTTGTGCGATCACGATCAAGTCACGTCAACATTTTATATTAATTTTTTTTATAGACATAATAAGATAAAAAGTAATAAGAATATAAAAAGTTGACGTGTTTAACCGTGACCGCACAAATAAGAAGAGATAGGAAGAACACCAAACAGGAGGACAGACAATCTACCTCCGACATTTTATGGAGGAGAATCCTTGGCTCCGTACGTGTCAAGAAAATTACTTAAATTAAACATCGAAAAGAGTAATTCGGAATCATTCTCTTTCAGACAAATCACAGCTTAGCGTAAAGAGTAATGAAATGGGTGCGAGTTCCAGGTAAGGAATTGTTCCAAGAATGCTTCGGTATCAAGTTATCTACTTTTAACCCAGAAAAACATTATCATCCAAACTTTTTTAACCCAAATAAATATATAAATAAAACATCCATCATCTGCAAGGAATTTGCCACACGAATGTAAAGTCGTACATATCGGAATCGAATCAAACCAAACCGTTCTTTCGCGACATTCGCGGCGCAGTGCTTAGCTGATTTGAATCAAACACAATCACATAACATCAAGGTTAACAACCTAGACTTAGAACACTAGGGAATACATATGAAACCTACGAGATTACAGCATCTCTAGATGCCACCATTTTGTTAGAAGCACGAAGGGTGGAATGTCAAGTGAGAAAAGCCAAGGATGAATTGCCTAACCGGTGAGAACATGACGGTCTTGTTTGCGCTGACCCCTCACCGGACAACAGAAGCACAGTGCTGGTTTCCAGCACGCATAAACCCGCCAGGGAACTGCATTGCTCCACTCATGTGGGGAGGGATGCCTGAGAATCTGCGATCTGGTTGCTGAAAGTTGTCATTGGTGTTGGAAACGCTAGTCATGTCTGGGTGGAGTGCAACACTAGGGAGGAAATCACTGCTTCCCGAGTGATTACTTTCTGTGCCCCCTGTATCTTTCTGATGTGAGCTGATGGAGTCCGAAACATGGTGGGTGATACTGGAGGGGTTCTGGTCTGACTGCCGTTTTGTGCTGAGAAAACGTCCACCAGTGCCCCTTACCCTATTCACGGCATGAAGATGGCGAGACTCATGGAGATAAGGCTGCATTGATTTAAAAGTGACATCAAAACGTGGGTTAAGGCACGGTTTGGATGGATGAGGTATCATTTGTAACACAACCGCTGATTCTCTTCCATTGACAAGGTCAGGATGAGTAACATGAGATTCTGGTCTCCAAACTAAGAACACGTACTTCCATATAGAACCAAATGCAGCAAAGGAATCAAAATGATTTATAACTCGGTAGACATACATACCTTTCGAGCTTTGAGAAGTTTGTTACGAGCCTCCAACTTTGCACGGGACTGTCTCCTTCTGAGGATTCCGTGGTATTGTTTTGCATTGACATAGATGGGTCCGTCTTGTGCCAGATCGAGAGGCAATGGAACTCGTGTAGGTGCCATCCCAAGCATATGGGACTGAATTAAGTTGAATTCCACTTATAAGCTCATAAAAGGTAGTGACAATCACAAAAAAATAATGAAAAACTAATAAGTATAATCTGGACGATGGCACTCAAACCAACATAAAATTGGATTTCTCCAATCAGATGTACATCTTAAGCGTTAAAACCACCGTCATTTCTTTTGACAAAATACGGTGAGAGAATATAAACGGACACCATTTGGCAAATTAACAATGTCCATTTAATGTAATTGTTTTCAGATATAACTGAGTGGGGAAGCATTGTAACTACAAATCAACGGAAAATGAAAACAAAGTGCTCAATAAAAACTAACCATCGCCTGTGGTCCATATGCAGTCAAGAACCCGCTGAAGTAAGGGTCGACATAAGGATACGGCACGCAACCCTGGAAGAAAGAGACAAATTAACAACCACCTAACAGGTTAAATTCTGGGTATAACAGCTCAACCTACCATTAAATTTCCGTGACTAACTTGAGAAGGATTCAGCATGAAATCTTGATTACTCTGCAAGAAAACTGGCTTCATGTTGCCTTCAGCATCCTTACCACATGTTTGAACTTCGCCTGGGTTCAAGGGCAAGAAACAGAAAAGAACTAAGTACACGAAAGGGGAACACAGAATGATATATAGCTACTACGCATGAACATAGACCATGTATCATACGAAAAAAAATAATAAAGATTTTATATGACAACTGTCACGTAGCATTCTCTTCTTATAAACGTAACTTTTACAATAAGATCATAAACCAGGAGTCTGTATACCAGAATCTGATGAGTTGCATTGATCTTGAGTGACCGATTGATTGGGTTATGGATGATGATCCCTGGTCTGTTTGTAGTTGGAGTCCTAAATGCTTTGAGCCATGATGAACCTGTGGCGGAAATTTCACTTTGAAGCTTACATCTTTGGATAAAGGTTGTGGAACTTGTTGTTCACTTGGATTCCACGACATGGAATTTGTATAAAGGGGCATTGCCACAGAACTCTGGTTGAAAATGTTCTTATCCAACTTTTGAGTTGTTGGTATATATAATTCTATCGTCGAGTCCTGAAACACATGCAAAATCGGAAAGATCCTTAATGAGGATGTAAGTACAACCTCACACTCACAGATTATCAACAACAACTAAATACACATACACACATAACGGCTATGTATGCAAGCATACAATCGCGTTCTTCATTACAACACCCCATCAATCACACCAATATCGCAAACAAAACAACATAAGAAAACTCACCGACGAACTGGAACTACCCAACGGATTATTCTATCCTAACCACATATTCAACACATATCAAATGATATCTTCTCTTAATATATTATTTTCGCCGGGCAGAATCCACGGCATCTCTCCTATTTCGAACCAGATGTACATCGGAAAACAAAACATTTACGGCAAGCAAGTTGGTGTTCCTGTTTCTACCATTTAAACGAAAAATCAGACTCCAAAAGCTCAGAACACGCTAAGAACACCAAGAAGTGGTTTTTCCGAGTTTATATATATATTTTTTTTCTTTTTTTTTTTGAGAAGAAACAATTTTTCCAAGTTTATATAGATTGCATTTAATATCTCAATTACCATGGAAGGAAAAAAGAAGGTTTAGAAAACCAGATCCAAAATGTCAGTAAATACTACAGAGAAATTTACATGCACTTGCAGCATCAGTATGCAACAAATTAGACCAACAAAAACAGATCAATGAGAGATTAATCCGGAAAATTAGTAAAAAGACATGAGATTAATAATAAAAGAGGAAAATAAATAAAATTTAAATAAAAACAGAAAATATGGAGTAAAATGTACAAAAATGGAAATAAGAACATACCCAAAACAGGTATAAACCAGAAACTGATAAAGGAGACAACTTTTCTACTTTCCCATCTTCAGAAGCACCTGAAAACAAAATCAAAAGATCTCAAAATCCACATGCAATTAGTAAATAGCAAATAGAAAGCAACCCACTTGGATTCTACTCCCATAATAAAATAAATTAGCAGAAAAATAAAACCCATAAATGGAAAAAGAAAATAGAAAGGCAAGAGAGAAAATGAGCAATAGGAGAGAGAGAGAGAGAGAGAGAGAGAGAGAGGGAGAGAGACCTTTGGGATCTGGTAAGGGATGAATAAGTGAAGAATATAGGTGTAGGGAAGAACTTGGACATGTCTCCTTTCCCCCAACTCTGTCTAAATAAAAGCACTCTCTCTCTCTCTCTCTCTCTCTCCCCCCTCTTCTTCCTCCTCAAAGTCTCGGTCTTTCTCTCTCCTCACTCTCTCTCTCTCTTCACTATATTTTCCTTCTTGGGCTTTGCTGCTATGACAACACAACACACAAAAAAAAAAATCATAAATTCCTACTTGAAAGCACTTGCCACCTACCTCCCTCCCTCTCCCCTCTCACTCTCTCTCTCTCTCTCTCTCTCTCTCTCCCTCTCCCTCTCTCTCTCTCTCCTCTATATTTTTCTTGTATTTTTCAAGCTTTCGTCTTTATCTTCATCCTCCTTTGGTGGTGGCCCCACTCGCACGCCCAAACGCACCCTTAACGCTTGGCTGCATTCACGTTCCTTATCTCAGCCGCCCTTCACTGTTTTCCTCACTTGTTTCCCACGCCCGCATTTCTCACGCGCCGCCACAAATGCAAGCACATTATTCTGTGTTACGCTTCCATCTGGCTGGAAAATGTATTCCGTCCACCGTGCGGCGAGTGAGCTTCTCTGCGTGATGATTCAACTGGAGAAATTATTATGAGATTTTAACGAAAAACTCTCGGTACTGTTTATTTTAACAAAAAATTATATTTTTATACTAAAAAGTCAATGTTAATACTATTCACTCTACCTTTTATTTAAAACTCAAAGTTCTTTTTCATTAGTTTTTTTAATTATATATATATTGTTTTTTTTATTAATTTCTTTCAAAATTTGAAAAATATAAGAAAGTATTCTATGGCCAATTAAGATAACTCCAAAGGAAAAGACACATCAACCTAAGACGTCATTAGGACGAGGTTTAATATTTTTTAACCTAAGACACATCATTCTATCACCTAATTCTATAAAAACCACTCTAAAAGCATCAAACGTTTTCTTCAAATGGAAGGGAAAATTGTATTCTCGATGATGACGGGATGGAAAAGTTCGCGTTCGGGTTGTAACGTGTTAGAATTTGTGCTTCTTTCTTGACTTTTTTTACTTGCTCTTTTTTTTTTTTTTTTTTTTTTTTTAACAATAGGAAGAGAATACCAACAAACCTCAAATAGAAACGAAACGGGTATAACTAAATCTTAATCACGTCCAAATGTCAAAACGACTATAATTATCAGAGTGTAATATTTTGTGCACCAATAAACGGCTCAAATCATCGCGAAGAAGTTGGGTCTGATATGATGAAGATGATATTTTGTGCAGGATTGGACGCCTCAAGTCCTCGCCTCATCATCAGAGAGTGCAAACGTTGCCAACTCTTGAAAATTACGCAAAAGGGCGCTTTCTTGTCGGATATTTCGAGCACAAATGCAACATCACTGTTGCAAACAACACGAAAGGAATACTTGATCCATCTCCATTTCATCGTTATTAAGCGTTTTGATGCATAGTAGTTTCTCATTCTCGCTCGCTCCAGATCTTTTTGTCATAGTCTCGAATCACCCGTGGCTCCATAAACTCCTCGTTCCATATCTTTTCTTACAAGCATTGAATAACATTATTTAACTTTTAGTTAAAGAACTATAGCTACAATTCAGTCATAGTTTAAAAACCATGTCTACAATGAGAAATGCTAAGGAGACTCTTTTAAAGTGTGATTCATCGTGGACTTTCCATCATCTCATGTTTTTGGCACAATTCTCGAACCAACTTTATAAAATATTATGCCAAAAACATGAGATGAGAGATAGTTCATCAAGAGTTCTGTTTTTAAGAGATCCTTGAGCATTTCTCTAGCTACAATCTACTCCTTGTTTTGCTAATCCTTGTTGGGTTATTATTCTTTTCCTACAAGCATCAACGGGTTTTCAACTTTCTGTTTCCAATGTATTTCCTAGTTTGATTGGAAAACTTGCAAGAAAAGAAATAGCGTTGATTAATTTTACTGCTTCCACATGGGGAATTACTAGATTGTAAAATTACGATTTGTCTCCTACAGGGGTGGCAAATTCTAATTAGCAATGAGACATGCCATATTGAATCGAATAAAATTAATGACTAGTTATTCAGAAATATTACTCTTACCACATATTTGTACCATCTTTCTAATAGAGATAAGATCTACATGTGTTGGTGGACCTTAACCTCCATTAAAGAGATGTACAAATAATGATACGAATATGTGGTAAGTGTAACATTACTCTTTAGTTTGGTTGAAGATTAACTATACTTGTCAAGTGATTAAGCTAAACTAAATTGTTTGGATTCATTTGGTTTGAGGTAGAATTAAATGTCTCTTGAAAAAATAAGAAATAAAACTCAAATATCATCAATATCACCTCTGAAATAGGCACTCAATCTTTTTTTATTTTATTTTATCAAGTGTAAAATTCATTACCAAAACAACAAACATTACAAACAAAGGCCTATCTACAAAACAAACAACACTAACAGATGGACCTCAAAGCAAAAAACTCAACCCAAAGGTTGAGCCCACAACAAAACACAGAAGACAACACACACAGAAAGAAAGAAACCCTAACCGCCCTGTTGCTACCACAGCAAAACACCTTGCCGTCGTTGATTGTCACCCCCCATGAAATACGTTGGAACATGATTTTAAATGTCTAATAACCAAAACCAAAACAAAGTAATGACAAACAACAAAAGGATGAACTTGAAACACCAGCCCCAAGCTAAGTTGTGAGTGACATGATCGGCAATATTTCCCGGATTTTTTGTGGCCGGAAAACTGAAAATGTAGTCCGGCTCATGCCAGCTCTCTAGTTCCACTAGCTTGGATACTCTGCACTCTTTAAAATTGTAAAATATCATCTTCCCATATTCCTTCATGAGCGCAACGTCACTGTCGCAGAATGCTATAACAGAAGTCCCTCGGGTGCTTAGTCTCTTCCTCTCACTCCATATTTTTTCTCGGTGGTCTTCCATTATCCAGTATTCCGTGAACTCATCACCTCCTTCTTTGCGAACCAACGCGAGACGGCCTTGGTAAGCGGTTAAACTGTACTTCCAATGCACGTTGTTGCACATAGGGTGTGGTAGCGCGAAGGTTTCCCAGGTTTCCTTGTCTTGATAGAAAGCCAGTATTTGGTTGTTGGTAAGATGCCAGTAAAGCGCGCAGCACGCTGAAACAGGTGAATTGGTGCCCAATAAAACCCCGTGAGGTAAAATCAAATCGTTCAGCTGCTTCCAAGACCAAGTGTTTGAATCAAAGACTTCGCTTATATAGTGGTTGTCAAATGAGGGGTTGGTCTCGGGCTCCGATAATCGAATAATCTTAAACCAGCTGCTCAAAACTGGGTTCGAATTCGAACTCGACCTCAACACGGCAATAGCAGTGCCCCGAGTAAAATACCTAGTCTTAGGGTTTGGTATTTGTTTCCAGTATTGAGTAGTAGGAGCGCAAACAAAGTAGCGAGGAATCTTATGGTTTTTATGGCTCACGCCGACGAGTAAACCTCGATCGGCGGCTTCAATACTGTAGGGAAAATGTAAGAACCTAAGCGAAATAGTTTTGGAGTTGTCGATGTTGTTATCTTCCACTGGTAAGAAGGTGCAAACACGGTTTGGGTAGAACTTGCTCTGAAGGAAGAAGCCATATGTTGTGTTGGTTTTCTCACAAAATAGTTTGAAGGAGTCATAGGCGGCATGGTACCATTCCTTCGAGACAAGTCTGCAACTGCCTAGGGTTTCCGGGGATATTCGGGTTAAAATCTCGGAACGTATAACGTCGGAAGGGAGAGTTGGTGAAGAAGAAGCCATTAGATAAAAGTGTGTTTTTCTTTGACACTGGTTGAGAGAGAGAGACAGAAAGAGAGAGAATCTTTGGTTTTATATACAAGTATATACATATATATACACACAGCGAGAGAATATCAGAGATGTTTCTTACTAGTCCTTGATGGGTTTGGAGAAGGGGTAACGTAATGATTCTTTTTCTTTCAACTTTCTGATTTCCTATTTCCTACTTTGATTGGAAAACTTGCAAGAAAAGAAATAGTGTTCGGTAAGCTTTGGAACTTGTAACTAGTATCCTGCTTTCAGATGGGAAATTAAGGAGTGGCATTCTTTCTCCTCTAAATTTCTCTTTTTCTTATTTGAATGACTACAATTAAGTCACATCAATATTTTGTCTTGACTTTTTTATAGAGAGAAAGACAAAAAAAAAAAGTGAAAGAGAAGGATAGAGGAAGGAAGGATATTTGAAGGACAATATTTTTTTGGGATAATGCTAGGAAGACTAAATTTAGTAGTAATGTTATTCATACCATGTTTTTATATCACATTTTTATACCACTTTAGGTGGCACATCAATTGAAAAAAAATTCAAAACCCAAGAAAATGAAGGAGAAAGACTCCTCGTATACCATAATTATCATTTACTTATCTAGTTTTTCTTAATTATTAGTTTATTAAATAATGAACTAAATTTAAAAATATGATTAATTCAAATAATGTGGCTGTCCACATCAAATGCCACATAAGGTGGTATGAAAATGTGGTACAAAAAGATGGTATGAATAGCATTACTCAAGAGTTGATAAACATGCTCATTTTTATTTGTGACACATCATTTAGTTCACAAATTTTATATCTAGAGTCTTCCAACCGTTACCTTGCCTTCCAAGGAGGCTAATGAAAGACAAAGCAAGAAATTAAAAGTTTGATTCGGAGAAGTTAGGCCACTTGATTAAAGTAATGTGTATGTACTTTCTTCCTCACATATAAATTTGAACATAAACGAATCCAAATTACCATTTTCAAAACTCAATACTAATCAATTTTAAATATATTGTCAATATTCAGTCCTTAATTTTATTGAGTTCAACCATTAAAATTTAGGGTGAAATGCGGATTAGTCCCTATACTATCATTTCAGTGAAAATTAGGCGCTTGAATTATTTTTTCAGTAAAATAAATCCCTAAATTCATTAAAAATTACTATTATATTCAAAGCTATTTTATCAAAATTTTCATCAACTTAAGTCACTTGACACACTTTAAAGTGTAATACCATCATTTTCTCGCCGTTAATCTATTAACATTTCATATAGGTTGTGAATTTAACGTTCAATTTACCTTCTAAAGTTAACTCCATACTATATTTCTTTATAAAAAAAAATTATCAATCTACCCTTAAATACGTATCAAATACAAGTAACATGACTTAAATTGAAAGAAGATTGAATGTAGTAGCTTCAAATCTAATATTAAGAATGTAATTGGCAAATTTTTATAATTCAATTACTAGTTCTTCTGAAAAAATAATTTAAAGACCTAATTTTCACTCAGTAATCATTTAAAGACTAAATTAACAATTCACCCTCAAATTTAATTTCTGATCATTTAGACCAATTTCGTAAATTTAATTACCCGTTCTAATATGATTAAGTAGTTTAAAATTTCGTTTGTGTCAAAAGTTGTAATAATAGTGATTTACCTTTAAAGGAAAAGAAAACATATAAAATCTTAGTGAAGATTTCCAAAACGTTGTAAATATGTTCACGAAAATATCAAAGGCTATGGAGCAGTGAAATACTGCATAATTACAGGTAGAAGAACCGGAGAAGCATAACGTTTGTCAATTGAATGGACTTATTGGCAATTTCCAACAAATTAATCGAACATCCATAATTCCAACGAGCTATATATCAACTGTAAACTTAGCTACACCTAAATTGGTAGGAGCCCTGCATGTCGTGGGATCCGATTCAATCCGAATCTTGAAGCCGTTTCGCGGCTCCTTGAAGCAATCAAGACTGCAGAGTACAGATACATGACAATATAATCTTGAAAGTGTTTGTTTCAGCAATTTGCTATTCATTTCTTAGGCTTCAACGAAAATACATGAACGGGCGCTTTAATCACAACCGCCACCATTGGAAGCCGATAATTCATCAGGTGCATCTTGAAGCACCGGATAACCTGAAAACAAAGGTTGAAGGAGGCAAGTTGAACAAAAGAACAGTTTTCCGCCTTCAGAAAACATAGCTTCGACCATTACGTAGGTAGTTTAAAGCAGTAAAAGGTGCATGTGATTGTATCCGTATTGTTTGTGTGTGCGTGCTAGCGCAAGAGTGAGAGAGGGAGCGCTTTATAACTCACCATGTAAATCAGAGATCTAAGTTGATTCTTTCAGACCATTTGAAAATATCAGAGTGCACTTTGTCTCCGCCCAATTCCTCTCCCGTAGCACCTGCTGCCACTCTTAAAACATCCTCGATCAAAGCAAAGTTTCCCATTATGTCAACATGAGCACCACTTTGGGTGCCTCGTCCCTCAAGAAGATTAGCCGGAGGGGCATGATCATATTCCCTTATGTAAGAAGGGATGCCTGCAGGATTGAATCGGGTCTTACCCCTCCAGCCTTTAGCGCACATGAAACCCGCACTCAGAACAGGAACAGTTTCATCGCCATCAGTGGAATATATTCCACCTTTTAAACAAGGGTCCTCACTTCCACCCTCTGCTGAGGTATCTATCTGAAAGGGAATGTAGCATTCAGCACTAGGAGTTAACTTGTATACATATGCTCTCTCTGTTGGGATTCCAACTCCATACATGGAATAGATCTCCATATCCGGAGCATTTGGTAATCTGCACAAGCAGTCAGAAGTTCAGGCACCACACTAACAGATTATTTGCTTAAACAGTGAACACAAGCCCAGAACAACAACCAAATAAACAACATGAACAAATGAAGTGTTTATTTTAAGATACTATGAGCTGGAAATTTAAGTATATAAAGCCTTTTGATCGAAAATGGAAAATTTGACTGAAACATACAGGACGTGTTTGGAGCGTGACTGTTTTCACACTTTGGGTAAAGCATTGGGAAGCAGTTTCCCGAAACCAACTAGAGAATTTTTTACTACCTAGGCAAAACTGGGGCATTTCCTACTTAAGGATTCATCTCTGAGCATATAAAAGGCATTGGAGAGTGGTGCGTGTAGATACAATTTAAAGCACTAATACTGGCTACGCTCAATTAAGGATCGCCAAAAGATGGAAAATGAGTTTAAGTTCAATATATGATTCACTAGGGGGAAAGCTGATAGAACAACACAAAAAGATGAAAACTCACTTTGTTTCTAGGGGATTCGACCAATACTTGTAGTGTTCATATTTTGGGTCATCCAAATTGTCAGCAATCCCATAAGAAAAATGATTATCCCCACGTGCCATCAGCTTGGGGGCAACAAAGTGAAAGAGATCCAAAATTGATCCAGCTGTGTAGACCTTGTAATCTGCAACGGCCTTGACACCACCGACACCCATTTCATGGTACTCCGTCCATACATCACACTGGGTAGCATTTGCAAGGAAATTACCCTTCACAGCGTCCTGCCAATCACGCACAAGTCAAAGTCATACACGTTAAACAGTTATGATAGTATGTATCTTGAGATTCTAAGAAAAGATAAGACAGTATACATCTTGGAAGACGAACAATCCAGGCAACCTCCTTCACATTTTTATGAATAATCCCATATTAAAAAACAAATGACTAAACCAAGATGCTAGGTAAACTACTAAACGATGGTACAAATATAAGGGCAAGGGGACATATATACTTCTAATGAAATGCCTTTGGTTAATTATGCTTCAGCACAGAGCAATACCCTGAAATCGATCATCTCAATCTTGGAGGAATCTGCCTCCGCTACATCTTTCCCAAATGATACAATCCTCCCATAGTTTACTCTCTTTTCAACTGCACTGATTGTATCGTTATTCTTCACCTTCTTCGCACTACAATTGCAGTATCCTTCAGGTGACCAATCAAGGCCACCCCAAATAGTGTCCCCGCCTTTTGGTATCATTGACATGGTTGCATCCCATGTACGGGTCATTCGCATCATATGTTGTAAGGTTTGGAGGCCAAAAACATCCTTATCCAAAACACCTGGTGCGAAAGCCCTGCAATAAAGATTCACATTTGATCAAGAGCCCAAAGCAGGGTACAAAAATGCATACATGTTTCTAGCAGACTAGATAAAGCAGGACACAACCATAATTCACATTTCTAGGCAGACGAATATGGTGCAAAAGTAAATGAGATAAACCTGGCAACTGCAATATCTCTAGCTTCCATTGAGAAAATTCCCGCAATGGCTTTTGGAACCCCTAGAAAGGGTCCACCAATGTTCATTACAGCTTTAATATGCTTTGCACACCAATCTGACCCACCCCCACCACCCATTGGTCCCGGTGCCTCAACCCACTTCATGAAATGCAAAAAGTACAGAACACCCATTGAGTGAGGAATAACAACCACCTTGTTACCACCATTTGTGGCTACCATAAGCTCTATGTTACTCTTTATCCTGCTTAAAGTTTGGTCCCTAACCTGACAAAGGCAATCAAGCAGACAAATACAATATGAATCATTTTTCATGGTAAAATCTATCATGCTACGATGAACAAAGAAACTGTACGAATTTCCATCACAGGAAGCTAAATGGGTTACAGAACAACACCTCAGTATTTTGAAACGATAGTCTCCAATCATATGACGCCATATACATTGTTTTCTCTTCATATCCAATGCGAGCCAAATTTGCAATCAAAACTGCCCAGACGAAATAACCTGGTGCAAAGTAATCAGCTGCCACAAGGCCAGAAACAGGCCTGACCCGTATACCTGGAGGGTCCAGTCCAGTCTCATTATCCAGAGACATGTGCTCAACCCAGCACAACGGTCTGCGAAAGATGAAAGGAAACGTGGTTGACAAGAATCGTGATGTAAGATTCAATTCCACCACCAATATTCCAAAACTTCAGAAAACAAATAGGAGATTGACTTCAGAAAACAAATGGGGAAAACCAAAACACCCCAATGATTAGTGTTTCGAGCATGAAATAACTCCATATTTCTTTCGGATAACAGAAAGAAAAAATGAATGAGTTTCACATCCACACTCTAACAAGCACCCTCACAACATTTTCTTCACTTCTACAATTCAAAAAGTTTATCAATCTACTTTTACACATGGCATACAGTTGAAATAGGTAGCACTATATTTTCAAGACAACACCCCACCATTCAACTCACTTTACAGATTTAAGTAAAAACTGGTAAATTAAGCAACCTCGCCGCAACGAAAACTGCATTGATTACCCTCTTAGTATGTCACACTTCCTTCTAAACGACGCCAAATCACTAAATAATCAACAAAAAGCTCAAAGTCCAAAAGTCCAAATCAAATTAATCCCCAATTAAATTATTAATCATGCTTTAGCATGAAAATCCCAGAAAGCACTCACCTTTTATACACTTCACCAAATGTGCCGCCCCACAGCCGCTTCCTGAACAACCCATCTGCACAACCATGCCCTTCCCACAGTTCGAGCCCGCCCGTGACAATCCCGGGCACAAACACCACCGGGTGCTTCACCGTGAGCCCCTCCTTCCTCAATTTCACCCCCGGCGGGTCCGTCATCGGCCCCGTTATCGCCTCCGTCACGTACTGCGGAAACGAGGCGGGCATTGCGTTGTAGAGGAAGAGCAGGAACCACCAGATCGAGCATATGAACCCAATGAACCAGCAGCAGCTGTCGACGCACGACCACCTCTGCTGCTTTTCCCCGCCATTTTTCTTGTGAGTGTGCTTTTGCTGCTGCTCCTCCTTCTGCGTTTGGGGTTCCTTTTCTGTCTGGCTGTCGTCGCCAATCGGCGGAGACGGCGGCTCCGAGTCGGAAGCGGCTTTTCCCTTCCTCCGTCTAAGAAACGACATCGTTTTGATAAACGGGAGAAAAAAAGTGGGCGGCCTTAAACGGTCTCTCTCCGTTGAGTTACAAAGTTCATTTTCTGGTCCCTCGGTGCTCAGCGAAGCAGCTGATCGAAACCCCCAAGCCCGAGAAATACGGTGACTATATTTATACACGGCGGCGATGGTAGCTGTGGCGGCAGGGGGAGAGGTCTTGGCCGGCGAGTGGGGATGTGGAGGATTCTGATTGGCTGTCGAACTGGTTGTGTACTTGTGGTTGCGTTTAGAAATCGGAGGGACTGAGCCTGGTAGCTCCCAGAACCTCCAAGGGTCCCACAACACACTACTCTAGGACACGTGGCGGAAGCCTGTGGGAGATAATGGATGTGATCAACGGTGGTTTAGTTGGGATGACGTTTTCCTTACTTTAATCTGTGTCCGAGTGGGCATTACAGGATCCAGAATTCTCCTCATCAAACAATTTGTATCTTTAAAATTTGATTAAACGGTTAAATTTTTTATAACTAAGTAGATCCACATTTTAGCCTTTAAATCAAATTTTAAGGATCTAAATTATTTGATGAGGAGGATTAGGTGGAAGAGATCCGAAGATGATCCATTTCCATGAAAAGGAAATTAAATTAAGTTTGACTTGTTCTTTTCTTTGAGCGAAACATTTTGTTGTATAATGCTTTGTGTACTTTACGTCTTACTCGTCTTCTTATTTATAATTAATGAATTGTTATTGTATGAATAATATAGAGACGATTTATCAATATATGTGATCATTTCATTTTTTTTATTATCATTTAATTAAAGAACATATATGCAAAAATTATTCATTTTGAAAATCTTTAACCATTTATTTAAATAAAACATATAGGCAATTTATTATAAAAGCACCACTTGTTAGTAAAATCATTAATTAGTTTAACATGTGAAATGATTAAATTATATCAAAATTGATTTTTTTTTTCATATGTATAGACAATAAAGAAATAAACGATTTTAATTGAAATAACCGGTTTTAATTAAAATGTTCTAACTGTAAAATTCGTCGCAGGTGGAGACAAATAAAATAAGTCCCCTCATTAGAAGACAAGCGTTACGCTTTTATTTATTTATTATTGGGTGGAGACCAAATAACATTATTTTAAAGTGCTTTTTTATTTTATTAGTCAAAATTTGGAATTGGATTCTTTCCGAGGAATCCTACTGACTGGACAACATAGACAGTTGGATTTTGATCCAACAATTACAATTATTATAATTTTTAGAGAAATTTTTTTTGTTTGTAACCGTTAAATCAAAATTCAACGATCCATGTTGTTTGATCAGTAGGATCCCGAGGTATTGTCTCAGAGAGGATCCAATTCCGAAATATTTTATAGTGCATGATTATAATATAATTATTTTGTTGACTGTCTCTAGTAATATTATTGACTTATGTTGTTTTTTAGTAATATTTAGGTTGTCGGCAGAACCAAGATAGATTACAATAACTTTTGCAGAAAAAACCAGACAAAATAATACGGACCACAAAGTTGAATCTAAAGGACAGATTTTTCGAAGGAAATTTTTTTTTAGTGTGATCGAAACACAAGATGATACATCACGTGTCATTACAAAAATAGTAAGATAAATATGTTAAAAAATTAATAATTTAAAAAATAAAATTTTTCATCACTTATATTAAAATACGTGATGTACTACTCATATTCTGATCATAATAAAAAAAAAAATCAAAGGGCAGGTAGGGCCGTTATGGTTGTGGTTGTGGCCTTCTTTAGAATCTGCTGTGTCAAGGAAGTCCACTCCAGCCAATTCAACAGAGTTTAGGTGAAGAGGAGAGCAAAACCAGAATAAATGACTGAAATTACATCGAAAGAATAGGTTAACGCATATGAGATATGTCAAGAATTTGCTTTTGGATTATGGAGACTATGGAAAAACAGGAATGAAGTCGTCTTTAAGGGGCTGCACCGCCAACCTCTTGAAGTTCTGGATTTATGGCGGAAGAACATCAATGAATTTAGGGAGGCGACAGATAGTGTGGAAGGGGACGTTGAGGCCAAGGCAAAAGGCAACCACCCAGCTACTGCCCGAACTACCCCTCACCGGCAAAGGCCCAAGTTCGGGACCATCAAGATCAATACGGATGCGGCATGGTGCAAGGATTCCCGTCGTGCAGGAGTGGGCTGGGTGGGGAGAGATTTTGCCGGGGTGCTCCAAGCTGCGGGCGGCACCGGTACTATGCTCTGTCAAAGCGCTGCTGCGGCCGAAGCCATAGCGATACGCTCAGCGTTGTCGGCTTGTATTAATCACGGATTCAATCATGTAATTGTCGAATCTGATGCTCAGAAGATCATTCAAATGATCAGGAAGGAAGTGTCTGAAAACTTTAATTTGGACTGTGTTCTTGGCGATATCAAGATACTAGCACGAATGTTGACGTCGGTTACGTTTGCGTTTGTGCCTATGGAGAGCAATCAGGCTGCTCACTTGGTGGCTAAGTATGTGCTAAAGGAAGGTCGTGATTTCACCTGGGATAATATTGGCCCAACTTTTTTGTTTAATACTCTTGTTCAAGATGTAAACCTTTTGATTCGCCTTTAATATATGTTATCCTTTGGAAAAAAAAAAAAAGAATCTGCTGTGTCAGAGTATGGCTGCCCACCCTCTGCTGCATTTTGGTGTGGACAAGTGTCCCTTTACTTGACCATAAGTTAACAGAGTTAACTTCATAAATAAAAATTCAAAGAAAATAAGAAAACCAAACCGGAGAACTCGCAACCCAACGCACGTAATCCCGTCGGCAACCCCACCTCCGCCGGAGGCAGCCCCTAACCTCCTCCCTGCCGGCATATCTCTCTCTTAAAAAAGTGGGCCTATTGGATCGAAAAGAAAGAAAAAAATGAGCCTATAATTGAAGCGCAAAACCGACTCACTCCTATTCCATATTAAAACCTTGAAATTGAACCGAATGGTTCCGTATCAATTTGGTACATACCTTAAAATTGAACCGAACTGTATTGAATTTTTTTTCAATTTGGGTTTTGATTCCACTTTCATATCGAACAGAACAAAACCGTGTCCAGGCCAAAAGGAGACTAACTACGGGCTCGTTTTGGTTTGCTTAATTTTTTTTAATCAGCTTCTTAAAAAAAGTTAAGGTCTTAATTGAGTTTGGTAAATAAATTTTTTTTTTCTTTTCAAAACCATGGATCTAAAACAACATAAAGCAAAAGCAGCTCTACATGCTTCTCAAAAAAGTGCCTTTTTCATTGGAGGCAGGTGAACGGTATCAATTAATTAATGAAACTTTCATATCGACAATCCTAATCTTATCTTCTTTTTTTTTTTTTTTTTACTAAAAGCAATTTTACTAGTATAGCTTATCAAACACTTACTTACTTTTCTGCACAGCTGTTTATTCTCACCACACAATAGATTACTTTATTTCAATTTTTACGCGAATCCAACTTTAATGGGTTTGAAGTTAAGCCCACTTGAAAAAGAGTTTGATTCTTACCCTTTTTCTAATCCAAGTCAAGAATAAAGGGAAAATAATTGATAAATAGAGGTTAGCCTAACACCTAACTTATGATCAGATTCGATAATGACTTATATAGTATGAGTACATTATTATCAGAGAAAATCAGAGCAACAATTTATGAACTTTGCCCAATTGGAGCTTTAGTCCCTGAACTTAAAATCCATGAGTATTGGTCACTGAACTTGTTATAATGTGGAGCAATGCTCATTTTGACTAATTACGTTAGAATTTCTATCCATTTCTTGTCCCTTTAAACTCCTTATTTTGGATGGAAGTTCTAAAAAGAGTTAGCCATAAGAATCATTGCTTCATATTATAACAAGTCTAGGGGCTAATACTTACAGATTTTTAGTTCAAGAACCAAAGCTCCAATTAAGCTAAAGTTCATAGACCATTGCTCCAATTATCTTTTTTTATAATAACATTCTGATTAAATTGACACGAGACGCTCCGATAACAGTATCTTTTGTGCTAAAGTAAGTTGCTCTCCATATGTTTTGATATAACTCTCCAAACTAACTGTTGGACCATCCGGGTGAAACATCAACAACCGCAGCCCACAAAATCTTGGATCTTGGACTTCCAACTCAACAAAACGTATTTTAAACAGGCCTCTCTAGAACTCCACAAGCAAATGGATAATGGGCCCCAGAAACCCAACCCGGTAAACACCCGGTTCGCGGTGAAACGTCACGTTTCCTGTTATAGCCAATCAGGGAGCCTCGAGCCAAAAAGAAAACACACCACACTCCTCTCTCTCTCTCTCTCTCCACATTCTCCTCTCTCTTCACTGGTCACTTCAACATCACCATTAACTCCGATGACACTGAAACCATAATATTGGTAGGTAAATCGTACGATCGTTTGAAAGTATTTTTAAAATAATTTAAAATATTTTTAAGTTTTAAAAGTACTTTTTAAAATGTTTTATGTAAAAAAAAAATCAATTATGTACTTCTTCGATGAAATACTTTAAGTTCATTTTAAAAGCGTCTCTAAGAGCACTTCCAGTGTTGGAAGGTCCCCTAGAGCAACTGCTTATTAAATCTCCTTTAATGAATAGTAACTATCTTTAATGAACAGTAATTATTTTTGCATCTCTACCCTTAAACTGAATAGCCATGACAATATGTAATAAAATATTAGTATTTTTTATTTTATAAAATAATAAAAAATAATTTTATTTGTAATTTCAGATAGAATTTTTAATCAGTCTCGTTGCGCCATGTTGATAAATAAGAAATTACAACCCAAAGTATTTGAGAAAATATAAAATTGTGGTATAAGGTAGAAGATAATTATTAGAGATTTATAAAAAAATTAATCTTTTTTTCAGATTTTTTATTTATTTTTTACATTTTTATTAATTTTTTAATGTGAATGACGTAATTTTGACGCCACTCTTGCATCAGCGCCCTCAGGTGTTTGGGCCGTTGATTCATGCCTCCCCTCTCCCACATGCCCGCCCCTAGCCCAATCGCCTGCATGGGCTGGAGCAAAGAAAGATGGCTATTGGGTTTTTTTGGTCCCCTATCCACCGAGCTGTACCCTCCGGTGGACTTGCTCTAAATAATATCTTACTTTTTTTATTAAATTAATTTAATTTTGTAATAATTATTTATGCTTTTTTTTAATTAGTAAATTTTGATGAGCGAATCTTCTTTCTGGTAGCGTAATTTAAGGTGGCATTTAAGTACTCTGTCTCGGTCGTGTCTCTGGTAGCTGACAGTTGCAGCGCTCGCTTCGTTCTCCACGCCTTCTTCTTCCACTCCAAATTCCATCCCTTTGGCGCCGGGAAACACGAAACGACCTCGTTTCGCAACCGCATTCCGTTTCAATTCTCCTCTCTCTGGGAGCTTCGCAGACGAAGTGTGAGCGCAGTCACAATGCTGACGTGCATAGCTCGCCCGAAGAAACTCGGCGACAACTCGCTGAGTCAGCCCGAGGTCTCCGACTCCACCAACACTCCGGCTTCCTCCAGTACCAAGCAGCAAGCCGCAATTAAATCGCTCACGTTTCAGGTACTAATTCAAAACCCTGACGTATAGATACATGGATATGTATGTATCGACCTGAATTGGCGTGATTGTTCGAATTTTGCAGCTCAAGGACATGGCATTAAAGGCTTCGGGAGCCTACAGGCACTGCGCCCCCTGCGCGGGGCCGGCGACGGCGGCTCAGAGTCGGTTCAAGGGGAGCGGCGAGTCGGACGCCGACTCGGACCGGTTCAGGTGGTCGTACCGGCGGACCGGGAGCTCGAGCTCGACGACGCCGAGGACTTGGGGGAAGGAGATGGAGGCGAGGCTGAAAGGGATCTCCAGCGGCGAGGGGACGCCGAACTCGGCCAGCGGGCGGCGAGTCGACCCGGTCGTGTTCGTGGAAGAGCGCGAGCCCAAGGAGTGGGTGGCTCAGGTGGAGGCCGGAGTTCTCATCACGTTCGTCTCCCTGCCACGTGGCGGGAACGATCTCAAGCGCATTCGGTTCAGGTAAATAAATCTCCCTCGAAAAATTGACCGTCCGTTTTGTTCTTTGGATTCTTATCCGACGGTGGATGTCGGAGTTTAATATTTGTCGTGCTTGAGTACGTTAGGTGATGTTTGGCAGCTTGTTTTCCTTTTATTTTTAATTTTAATAAATTAAAAATTAAATATTCCGGGCAAAAGGTTTCTTCTTTATAGGTAGGGCATTGAGTAGCTTTGTTTTTCATACAAGCGATATTGGAGGACTGAGTTATTTGAATATGTAACTTCGCTTGCAAGTATAATTGCCCGTTAACACAAAATGTGATCTTTGTAGAATCAGGTAGAGTTGTTACTCGTGTTTTGGTGTCGCTACCCAAAATTTTCTTATGTTTTCTCAGCACCCATCCAAACATGACCTTATTCAATACGAACCATTTAGGTGGGGCCCGGATGGGCCCTACAGAGGGCCGGTAAATTGGAGATGGATTGTCTGCCCTCCTTTCTCCATACCCTTCTCATACCCTCCTGTTTTGTGCGGTCACGGTTAAACCACGTCAACATTTGCTTTTTGTCTTATTATTTTTATATAAAAATTAATATAAAATATTGGCATGGCTTAACCGTGACCGCACAAAACAGGAGGGCATGGGGAGAGTATGGAAAGAGGAGGGCAGACAATCCTTCTCCCGGTAAATTTCACGCCTCCTGATGGCAAAGTAAAGAACAGTCCAAAAGGAGAGGAGGGATGGTGAGGATTGAAGTGGTTGGTGGGCCAGGGTTGTCGTCCTGTCGGAGAAGCCCTTTAGATTTCTTTTTCTTAAATTCTACCCCGCCTGTCCTGACTCTCCGTTGCCTTTGTCTTTCTTTTACTCTGGATGCGTTTGTTGCATCACGTTATCTCGAACTGGATAAGTACTAGCGTGATTCCGAAAACTACGTACGTGACAAAATATGGACATCCAACGTTAGATTTCCACGCCAGTAGCTTTCTTGCTGCCTAGGAGACAAACAAAAATGGGGTTGCTTGCTTTTGTTTTTGGTTGGTTGATGTCAATTTAGTATTTGAATAGATTCGTTTTGTTGATCGGCTTTTGGAAAAAGCCACTTATTAGGTTTGACGGGTTAGGCACTGCTGAAAAAAGCCAGTTTGGCCAAACTTTGGAGGCCACTTTATTCCACGCACCGAAATCTGGCTTTGCCTTTCCTGAGTTCTGTTTTCATTTTGTCAAAAGGCGTTGCGCGCCCAATTTGAAGTGGCGTAACATATTTAACAGTGGCATTTGATTTTTTTTTCAACTGTTACGCTAAACGAATGTTTCCAACTGTTTTGTCCTTGTGGCGTGCCTCTTGTTGTCGCTTCTTATGCTGTAATTTCATGACATCGGGGATTCTTAATTCTTGTTTTATCTTCTCTGGCTAGTCGAGATATTTTCAACAAATGGCAAGCTCAGAGGTGGTGGGCTGACAACTATGACAGGGTCATGGAACTTTACAATGTTCAAAGGTTTAACCGGAATGCCTTCCCGCTTCCAACCCCACGAAGATCTGAAGATGAGGTAAACCCCAAGCTAGCTATGTACAGAAATGGCATTGTGGCA